GTCGGTCTACTGGTGGTCTCTTTATTTGTGTGGGTCTAACTACCTTAGTTTCGAAACGCCCTGGGGAGGGGCGCATCGACCCCCCACCCCCTTCATTCTACGTTATGAAAAACGGCGAATCAGAGTGAGACTAATAGATGATCCATGACGAAACACTCATCATGCACTCAATGTTATTTTCACTGGTGTTGGCTTTATTGCATTACCGTGACAGCGAAGGAAAGAGGATGTCTAAAACAAGTCTGGCAGAGATCATTTGATGAAAAATGAGAAGGTATTGCATGCACGCGCATTAACACTAAAGGCATCCCAGTCTTCAAAATCTGTCATCAACCACTTGGCTACAAAGTTTTCAAGAGATCCAGCATCACCATTAGCAGTTGGTTATTGTTCCGTTTTCGCAATTTCGTCGACATATACCTCGCAAAAGTGTCCATGTTTGCCACTGATCATGTGCGGTAAATGGGGCGGTTTTTCGCCGCTGCGCAGTCACCTTCCCTGCTTGCCAGCGCGCCCGCCTCGTGAGCCGGACGGCGGCCGTCGGCGGTGGACGCCGCTGCGTCCGCCGGCCAGAGCCCACACGCCCGTCGGCGGTATGCAGCAGTCATCGCCGACAGGTCCCTGGGGCCGAGCTGCCTAATGTCGGACGGCGAGCCGACGCCGTATCGACGCCCGGCCCGGACGCACAGCGGGACGGCCGCGCTCGCCGCCGGCCGTAACCGCACGCTGGGCTAGAGCGCGCCACCGCGCGACGCCGGGCCATGCGCCGCTGATGGTCCGGTATGACAGCGACCTGGCTATGTACCGCGCGTGTCCGCACACTGGGCTGGCGCGCTCAGCACGGCCAGAATAGCACGCTCTGTCCGTCCAGAGTCGTCTGCATTGTGGGAACATGACCCGGGAAAGGTCACTGTCAGCGAGGTCTGGGAGGCCGGCCTGCACCGCACGTGGAGCGCGCGCGCCGAGCCGGGCCGGCGCCGCCTGCTTGCAGCCGTCTGACCGGCCACGCCCTTGCCAAGAGTAGCACGGCGAGTGGCGGCAGACAGCAGACCGACCTGAGCGCTGACGGCTGCGTCTGAGGCCCGGCCGCGTGGCCGCCTGTGGCGTTCTGGCCGGGGTGCAGAGGGGCGCGTCTGAGGCCCGGCTGTGTGGCCGCCGCAGCGCGAAGTCCATCGCCGATGAAAGGGGCTGGCGGGATGTGAGGAGCGAGGGTCGACGCCAAGGGTTTGGCAAGCATTCAATCGAGTGCGATTCTCGTCCTTTAAAACCGCTAGATTTTGGCAGCCCTGCCACGACAGCACGTCAAATGATACTGATGTAAGAGAAGATTACGTGTGAGTCATTTGGCATTGCCTTGGAAACGAAATGACGGTCCAATGTTTTCCGTAATAGTTCCGAAACGGTTTATCTTTGCTGTAAATCAAAATATACACTAGAAGGCACTGGTGCAAGGCGATTTTCCAGCTGATCATTGGCACTGTGCTGCTTTTCAATCGCAATCAACGTGCATGGCGTCGGTGACCTATGAAACGCAATCCGCATAAGACTGTGAGACAACGTAAAAATAGTTGTGTACGGGATCAAAGTAAAGCATTACGGTCGCATGCTTAACCATACTTTGTGTGGTTTGCATAGCAACTTGTGTATGTTGTTCAGGGTACGCATGATCAGATTACGTCAGATGCAAAAAATAAACTCGTAAGCCATACGTGAAAGTGACTTGTTCAAAATAGATACTATATGTGACATGCGACACATTTTGAAGAGGGTTAAAGGTAAAAAGTGTGTATGATTTCCGCAAACAAGTTCATATGTTAAACATGGTTACTAACATGTGGGGGATCGCTTTAGGCACTCACTATTATCCCTGAATGGGACGGCCAGCGGCCAGTGGTAGCGGCCATTCTTAACAGGCGTTCGGATGGGTGTCAAGTTGCCCCCCCCCCCCCCTCCAAAGGTTTTTCCAGAATGGTTTCCGAACAGCGCGGCGCAGTTGCGCTTAAGTTTGCAAAGCTGTACAAAATTGAATAGCAAATCGTTTAACATCAAAAATTTAGAGGTAGCTTGTAAGGTCGCTGACCTATAGCAGTATATCTCAAAGTCAGGCCATGGTTCCGGCGAAGTTAATTTCTAGGGAATCGTTCAATCTGATGCAACAGTGGAGTGTTGGACGAAGTCATACATCTCTAAGATGCTTTCTTAGGCAACAAAAACATTGAATGCGCAAATTGCATTGACCTAAGGGCAGGTATAGAGGTCAGACCAAGGTCAAAACCAGCCTGTTTTGTTGCTCTAGGGCTTGCTGTATGGGATAGTTTCTGATGCCCATTTCGAATTTATTTATAGCAGGAACCGCGTATTACGTCTTCCATGGACTTCTTAGAGGTCAGAATAGGTTATTGACCTGAAATGACCTAGGTCAACATATTGTTTTTAGAAACATACTCAAAGCAGTCTTGTATGATTTTGATCATCATAACCTTTAAAAGGTTAAAAAGTCACTGAATTCAACTGAGCACGTGAACCTGTGCTAAGATACTGTTATTTTGGTTCTGGAGGCACTTTGGAGACCAACCTGGCATTTCAATTTGTTTGACCTGATTTGACCCAAAGGTCATGACCTAGGAACCTCAAATTTTGTCTGAGGTAGATCATGTACAGATCAATACCCCCCGTGAATTTGGCGTTTCTAGCTCTCTTAGTTCCCGAGATCTCAAGGGGTCAAATTGACCCCTACCCAAGCGAATGGTATTTAGCCGGTCACCAGGGCGCGTGTTAAGGTCAGGGGACTTCAGAAAGTAGGAGGGTTCGTGCCGAGTATGACGGCACGTTGCACTTTCGCCTGGAAAGCTTGCCATTAACCTGCAGTTTCATATCGGTTGGAAGGGTCAGGGCTTACGCGAAAAGCACGGCTTAAGGTGTGCTGTGATCCCAGAAATGCGTGCATCAAAGAAGACTCGGACTGCAGATGAATAGATGTTTATGTATACACACACACACACACACACACACACACACACACACATATATATATATATATATATATATATATATATATATATATATATATATATATATATATATATATATATATATATATATATATGCGTAAATGCATATACATAACGAAATGTTATATGGTATACAGTATATGATATATTAGAATATATATGTATATATATATAATATATATATATATATATATATACACAAAAATGCCTTTTTAAAACTTACGAATATGAAAGACGCGAAAGATAGTGCTTCGATACTACAGTTTCTCCGATTGTTGTTGCTCTATTTTTTGGCTTTGAGCCTCTTCAGGGCAGGGTCGTAGCCAAGCATGCTGCCAAAGGGTAATGCCCCCCCCCCCCCCTCCCTGGTACAAACGCTCTAATTGAGACATTGAGCAGTTTCATGGGAAAGCAGTTGAAATACGAACAAATGGGACATTTGGCCATTCAGGGCACATTCACCCGTAACCTGTTGGCTCACTCACGCCAGCGACCGAAGGAGGGCAATGAGAGTGACGCCGGCCAGCAGCACTGGACAATGCTGTTCAGGTTTCCGGTAACGTCGACTGGCGCTTGGTCGAAGCCCTGCCTTGTTGTCGTTTGTACGCTTGGGATGTATGTTTTCTGCGTGGGAATGATGCATCCATAACGACCCCCGCTTCGAAGGTTTCCTCTCACCCTCTTATTCCGATGCGATGTCGGCAAGCGTTTTCTGCCGCCGCAGATTTTAAGCGAGTCCTGCCGACGCGCGACTTGAGCTGATTGGTTGCGTGATGCAGTGGTGCGTCGCCAGACGGCGCGTACGCCGCTTTGGTCGCCGGCTCCGGCACTCAAATCGTCGCGACGTTTGAGTTTTCAGACGCTCTGAGTGGGGCATTCGTGCCGATCTAGCACAAACATTTGGTGAGGTATTTCGTCGTAGAGAGTCGGAACCAGCGGAGCCGAGGTCTACCCGACTATCACTGTGCGCCGACGGCAGCTGTTTATCATAAAATGCTCTCCCTCGACGCGTCTGCTACATTGTTTGAGTTTGACGCGCGGGCGGGCGAGCCTCTGTCACTTGGCCACGTGCCATCGATAACTTTTTGATCTCGAAGTCTGTGACCGGTCTCCGGAAGTGCTCACTCTGACTTGCGCCGTTTGTCTTCATTCATGTCACGGTAAAACATGTGGAATAGGCCATCGATTACCGAAGGCAACATGCCGAGAGGAATGGCGCGCTGTCCTAGCTTATCACCGTCCCAGAAGCATCCAATTTTCAAGACACCACGCTCTGAGAAAATTGGCTCTTCAGCGTTTGGAAACTGCGTGTCCAAATTTACATTGCCTTTCGGAGATCGAGTTTTAAATGTTTCAATACGTGACGTCTTACTGAATAACCCGATGCAGGAATCTTGAACGAATTCGTGCATGCCCCGGTTCTGAAGACACGCCGCCGCTCCGTTTCTGCATTGCACTCTCCGTGTTCGACTTTTCCTCCTCTGCTAATGTGGATGTCGTGGGACTCCACGCCCTGGACATGCTTGTGATAGCAGACTGACGGGACGGAGTCTGGTCGTTTCGTCGCGTGTTCTGTCGGGACGAAGGGCTAGGGAAGAGGGCCGGGCTAACCGACGGACCGAAACGTTAACAGCGTATTGCCATGACCACCTGTACACTCTCGTCCATCAGGGCCTCGCATCAGCGCTCCTATATCTGTCTGTCCATGTGGACTCTTAGATAGCGTAGTCATATAGCCGCTTTTGTTTGTCCATGTGGACTCCGAGATAGCCTGGCCATATAGCCACATCCCTGTCCATGTGGACTCCGAGATAGCCTAGCCTAGTTTAATAGTAATATTTGTCTGTCCATGTGGACTCCTGAGATAGCCTAGTTTTATAGTATGATTTGCCTCTCCATGTGAGCGCTGAGATGGTGACCCCGTCTCTCTGTGTATTCCACCCCGGTGGGTCTCGGCCTGCGCCGCCTCACACCGCCCTCCGCATGCAGGCAAGAAGGAGTGGACGGGCCTGATCGGCGAGCTGGTGCGCGAGAGGGCCGACATGATCGCCGCGCCGCTCACCATCAACCCGGAGCGCGCCGCCGCCATCGAGTTCAGCAAGCCGTTCAAGTACCAGGGCATCACCATCCTGGAAAGGCGGGTAGGTGAAGCGGGCCGTGGCCGACTTTGTCCCCTCCTGTGAGCGAGGCTGCTGTCGTCGCGTCAGAGCAGACGCGTGAGGAGCGACAGCGTGGCTGGGCCACGAGTGTTGCGTGTGCGCCAGGCCAAGCGGCTGGGGCGGGCTGGCGGCGAGGGAGGGGCGGGTCACGAGCGGATCAGCTCACGCCATGCCGCGCCTGGGTGTGCGCGCCACGCCATGTCATGCGGCATTTTGCATGCACTGTATCTTAATGTTCCGCGATATCGTGCCCATTCCAAGTCGACAGCCAGATGAAATAAGCGAAACCAATCAGCATAACATGATACAACCGCCTGAAAAGACAGGCGCGTTCAGTCGGCAGGCACATCATCTGGCTGCGTCTTAGCATAGCCATCTTGGCCAGCAGCTCCTAGGTTCGTCGCTACATAAATTGGCTCACACCGTTATCATGAAATTTTGGGTGGCAGCCTGCTCTAGGCATCATGGACGCCTAACCTCAACTTAAACATCCCTGTATTTGTTCTGTGGATTGCTAGAGATGACCAGTAATGTCGTTAGCCTCCGGATCTTCACGGCACGCCGTGTACTACTAAAACCAGTTACGCTCAGCCCCGTTTTGGCGGCGTTTACGTTCATGACATTATAAGAAATCCGATCGGATGTGCCAGCTAACAGCTCCTGCAACCACACATAAAGAGGTGCCATTGTCCTGCATCCCGCCTGCGTCTGAAGCCTGGGAGGTGTCGCAAGATTGATCAATGGCCCTATCCTGAGCGTAACCTCGCGGGTCATCTAGCAGGATGGAAAATAAGGGTGGACGTGACGACACGCCCTGATGATCTGCCATAATGCTGTTCAGGAATGATGAGACTGCGACCTAGCTGTTCTGGCGCGAAGCAAAGTTGCTGCCTATAATCGTGGCGTAGAGCATAAGAACGTCTCACAAATTACGATGGTAAAGCCTGAAGTCCTTGTCCCACATGCACCACAATAGTGCCGACGTAAAATGTTAATGATAGAGGGGGGAGTAATGACTCCTCTCCTTCCCCTTCTTTTCTTCCGCTAATGTCGCACCGTGCTCTCTCAGGCACGGGATGATCCATTTAAGCATGTGGGGACAGGGAAAACTGTTGTCATGCAGTGAAAAAAATTGTTGGAACTGACAATTATTTTCTCTTCATAATCCTTGGGACCGCAGAAACCGCAGAGCCTGGCCATATATGACAGGTTCACTAAAATAAATGGCATAGCTGTCTTAGATACATGCTACATGAGTCAGACAGGGGTCCGGTCACGCAAGCAGAGTTTTCAACGTCGAGAATGACAAAGCCCTAAGGAACGAAAGAGTTGATAGCTTAGGAAAGGAGAAACGCACTTATCTTTAGGAAACCTTTAAAAGACAATTTTAACGATGGAAGTCGACTTTGCCACGAAAGTGTCTCTACGAATTGGACGCATTTTTCTGCGTCCAGAGGGGCGTGGCTGCTGTTGGCTGTACCATGAATGTCAGTACGCGGAGGACGGACCGGCCCAGTACCCCAGGTGCTTGTGACACTTATGGCTTCTGGTGCCTGTGACACCTATGGCTGGGACTTGACATGCACTCCCGAAACGGCCGCGCATTGAGTTAGAATGCACGTCAGCTGTTGCCAGATTTACTTCCGTTCTAGTTCAACAAGCAATTTTGCCCTATGCTCTTGCCTGACAAGATCGCGGAGGGTCGTGCGCACTGCTCGCTGCAGCGTCACAGCGCTCTGGCGGGCCTCAACATAGTCTTTGTTGTGCACCTTTTTCTCTCAGCTGCATTTAAATGGCTCGCAAATATGAAGGTAAAAATGACTGTCTGAAGTTATTTCCGTCTGTCATGGCTGGGTTGAACTGGGGTTTAACCATAAGTGGCTAGCGAATGAGTAAGGCCAACACCCCATCCAGGAAAGCGTGTGGTATTCGATTTAAAAATCACAAAGGATTATAATTTCTTTGCCGTGCAACTTGTACTAAATCACTGCAGTTGGTGAGTATCAAGTTCAGCAGAAATTTAACCGGTCTGTATGTCACAGGGTGGTGTTATGCCGAGCACGTATGGGGACAAAGCTGCTTCTCCGCTGCTAAATAAACTTGCGAGACATGTTAAAGATATTGCAATTTAAATCGCTCAATAATTATATCATGGTTCTGCCTGCGGCGAGAATGTATTAGATTTTATTTGTATGGTTCGACGACCATTGACGACTTAGTTCTCTAGCATTGATCTGTGTTACCGCGTTGGCAGCGTTGCGGCTAACCGGTCCGTGCAGCTCACGTTTATTTAGATGCGCGACAGCAACGTGAGCTAGTTGGCTTTTAGATTGGATGTGCCAATGCCAAAACAGGCGAGGGGAGAACAGTCACATTTTAACAGGCGCGTGTTGAAACCGCAATACCCAGACCCCTGATTAAACGGCTAGCGCTCAGTTACGGCAGTGTAGGTGGTGACCGCTGACCTCATGTCTCAAGAGGTCGTCCGTGGACATGTGGCGACAACGGCGTCTGCCTCACGGCCGGGGTGTCGAAGCCGTGACACGTGGACGCGGACCTGACACTGCCCCTGCGGCCTCCATCACGGGACACCTTGGCCAGGCCCGCGCGCCGCCCACCGGCCGTCTCGCCACCTGGTACTGGGGAGGGGCCGGGACGTAGAGGTCAGGCGGGAACGGGACGGCATGGTCTAATGGCATGGGGCATCGAGACCTACCCCTGGAATTGGCCGTCCGAGGGCAGACGCCGGGTCCCACGTGCCGTGTGCAGGAGGCGGACACGGCAGCGCTGATGACGGAACAGACAATCCACGGCACTGATAGCGATCACTTCCCGATTGAAGTGATTCATGTGCCCAACTTCAGTAGGTACGGACCACTCAAACGGTCCAAACTCAACAGAACTCATGCAGTTGGCGCATAACTCGCGGGTTATCAGTGCAGTTTGACGCCGAGAACTGTGTGAGAGTGCGAGAGGTCCCATCTAGCGCTTCCGCTTTCAACCCACACCTACCAAAACGTGCAGTTGGTTGGTGCTGGTTTTTTAAATTTGATTTGAACACTTTCATGACATGGATTTCTGAGATGAGAGCTCACGCTAAGCATTGATGGTTGTGTGAACCCTTTGCTTTCCAATCAGTCGCGAAATTCCAAGTCAAAGGCAAAGTTTGGTGGCGCGACTAAATGGGGCAGAAGGCTCGGCACGGTCCGAACTGTCCTTTGATGGCAACTGACTTTGGCGCGTCCGCTGCCACTGGTCGCAGATCTTACCTGTCAAGGTAAAAAAGCGACCACCGAAAGCGACTCGAACTCAACCCGACACGGTTGGGTGGATCGGACGGTAGCCGCTCTACCTAACTGAGCTATGGGGACGCACTGCTTCCCCCGCGCGGATGCTAGTGATCTGTTGCCAGCTGCCTCTTGGTGTCACGGCCCACTGTTTGTGGCTTGGCCGGGAGCCCTGCAAGATGGTGAGCAGCTGCATGCAACAGGGAGTATCGAGCACGCTGTCTCTCTCTCTCTATGTCTCTCCTCCTCTCTAAAGGAGAGAGAGAGCGATGAGAGAGAGAGAGCGAGAGAGACAGACGAGAGGAGAGGACGCGAGAAAGCGAGAGAGAGAGAGGAGAGGAGAGAGAGAGAGGAGAGAGGAGAGCGAGAGAGGAGAGAGAGAGAGAGAGAGAGAGAGAGAGAGAGGCGGAGAGGTAGAGAGAGATGATCGAGAGAGAGAGCGAGCGCGAGAGAGAGCGAGCGCTTCTCTTCGAGGAGAGAGTCGCTTCTTCTCTCTCTCTCTCTCTCTCCTCTCCCTTCTCTCTCTCTCTCTCTCTATTCTCTCTCTCTCTCTCCTCTCTCTCTCTCTCTCTCTCTCTCTCTATCTCTCTCTCTCTCTCTCTCTCTCTCTCTCTCTCTCTCTCTCTCTCTCTCTCTCTCTCTCTCTCCTTGCTCTTACTCTTGCTTTCGCTCTCGCTCTTGCTCTTGCTCTTGCTCTTGCTCTTTCCCTTAATCTTGCTCTTGCTTTCGCTCCTGCTCTTGCTCTCGTTCTCGCTCTCGCTCTCGGTCTCATTTCGCTCTTGCTCTTGCTCTTGCTCTTGTTCTTGCTCCTGCTTCTGCTCTTGCTCTTGCTCTCGCTGCTCTCGGTCTCGGTCTCGGTCTCGGCCTCGGTCTCGGTCTCGGTCTCGGCCTCGATCTCGTTCTCACCTCCAACACTCCGTTCACATTTTGATGGGCTGTGATGGAATATTATCAGCTCCCGGTACGCCAAACTCTGTGCGGAGCATGTGGCAAGGTGGCGGAACCGGAGAACTCAGGCGCAGTCGGCCGTCCGTGCTGCCCGAGCCGTTCTCTGGCCCACGCAGTGCTTTCTTCGCGTGGTGACCAGTTAGCGCCAGTTCTGACTATTAGTGCCTTCAGTGCTTTGCACCAGTGGCAATGAACGGGCGTGGACTGGTGACGTCGCGGAGCACACATCCGCGCGGCGCCCCGCACAAAGACAGAAATCGGTGCCGGGACGTCGAAGTGGGCGCATGTCAGGATCTCGCCCATTGTTGGCAATCAGGAGCCTATCCACTACTTCGGGTAAGCCCAAATGACCGGTGACGTAGGTACCTGGCTTATCGGCGACGTCACTCCTAAAACGCATTCCTTGCCTGGAGGAGATGCGAACTAAGTACATAAAATCGTAGGTATTTACATGGCGATGCACAACAACAGCCAGTGCATGTTGACAATCGTGACAATCTGCAAATGGGCCGGTCTCGATCACGTGTAGGGAAGAGTGGGGAGAGTTGCATCAGTGTTTACTGAGAGCTCTCCCATGCTATAACTGATGAGGTCAAAACTAATGTTTTAATATCTGCAGACAGATCTGCAGATCTACATATCTGCAGAGCCTGCACTCGCGCAAAGGCACTGGACCTTGCGAGTGTTCTCGCCCGGGCAAGAGCGGTGCCCAGTGATGAACGCGTCGCTGTGGCAGCGGCTGTGGCG